GGGATAAAGGGGGGGCAGAGATAGAAGGGAAGGCAGATTAGGGAAAGGGGTATTCAGAAAGCATGCCACCTTGGGGGGGGGAATGAGAGGGGGAGAAAATTTGGAACTCAAAATCTTGTGGAAGTTAAATGTTGAAAACTAAAAATAAATAAATTATTTTTAAAAATTAAATGATATTAAAAAAAAACATATTGTAGATGCCACTAAACAATTCCATATTATCACACCATATGACAGTTCAGAGTCTCTATGGCTAATGAACAAAATTTCCTGGGCCCCAGCAATGCCAACAAGACTGATGGCCACTGCTACCGGTGTATTTACTGCCTTCTTTTAAAACCCACTACCAAATAATTAGGGAGAGGTGTACTTCTGACAAAACCCTTATGGGTCAGTTGAAATTTGAGGTTTGTCAGTTTCAAGTCCACTTTGTCCAACAATGGAGAAAAAAGGCCTCTTTTTCATCGTCTCTTCCTTTTCAGTTAGGTATATGTCTGAAAACAGACTTAAAAAAAAAAGGCTTACTAGGTATGCTTTTTTTTTCTGTCATCAAGAGGGTGGGTCACAGAAGATCCTGTAAGTGAACAAATATTATGTTCCCCTACAAAAACATACCAAAAACGAGTAGACTAAAAACTGGTCAATCTAGAATTCTGTCAGTTGGGAATTTTTTCAACTGGCATATCCACACGGTAATGGTACAATAATAACAGATGTTCACAATGGTGATCCTGAAATACTATCAGATACCTGTATTTTTTTTTAAATCATATTCAGTATAGTTCAGCACATATGTTATAATTCTTTGAAAATTGACACCCATGGTAGGTATTATGTTAACTTTCTAACCAAAAGAGATTAATCAGATCATCCTGTTTCCTGAACATACTGGGTAACAGTTTACTGTACTATCAGCCTTAGTACATAGCCTGAGAAACTATGGCAAGGGCCTGAAAAACAAACAATAATCTAAATAAAGTGAGAAATTGTAAAGACATGTCTCTCACATCATAATATGAAGTGTAAATAAAAGCAGACAAAATTGAAATGCCAGCCAAGGAGTATATAAGCATTTACAACACAGCAAAATTCTAGACATTGGTAATTACTACCCTTCTAAGGTTAAGCCAGTACAAACATTTTGCTAAGTTCGAGTATGATCTGGATCTTTTCAAAGGCAAGTCTCTGCTTACAAAGGCTAAAATTGGGGAGATTAGGGGTAAGCAACATTCTAACAGAAAGACATTTAGGAGATAGCTAACCATGGGACACAAATTTTCTCCTAATTTTCTAAAATCAGTTTCTGTTTCCCAAAATAAATCCACTTAAAACCTGACCGTCAATGAGTCTTCTCATTGACATATGTCCAAGTACAAATGACCTGCCAAATCAGTCTCTTAGAAAATCATCTCCAGGCAAACAATATCAACATTTGCCTGATGACCATATACCAAGTCTAGTATACTATTACACATAAGTGAAAAAAGTGAGAATTACAAACTGCCAACATTTAATACTAAATAATCTAAGGATAGAAATATGGAATATAAACTACAAATCTGTGTCTTGGTTTTGAAATCTATTTTCAGCAGTAACTAAACTACTACTACTTAGCCACTTAAAACTTTTATAACTACTTGGGGGAGCACTTTTGTAGTTAACAAAATGTCAGTATTTCAAAGATCCACGATTTCATTAGTGTAGGTGCCCAACTAACGTAAACTGAAATATCTCTGTGCCTTACTAGCCACTTTCCTGAATTGCTGTGGCATAACAATAATAATAACAACAACTAACATTTTTATAGGGCTTACCATGTGCCAGGCCTTATGTTAAGGGCTTTATAATTACCTTATTTGATCCTCACAACAACCATGGGAAGTAGGTGCTATTATCCCATTTTATAATTGAGGCAACTGAGCCAAACAGAAATTAAGTGACTTGCCAACGGTCACACAGCTAGTACCTGACTCTGAATTTGAACTCAGGTCTTCCTGACTCCAAGTCTGGGACTCTATCCACTGTGCCACCTAGCTGACTCTATAAAACTTTGAGAAATTAGTCCAGGTTCACTCTTCTCCACAAAAATCAAAGTCTGTGTCCAGTCTTAGCTGATACGACGAGACACAGATACATCAGATTTACTTCTTGTTTAGTAAGCCCTTGTTACAACATATCTACTGATTTCACAATTTTCTGTTTCTTTTTTGGTCTTTGTTGTTCCTCCCCCTGCCACCCTCCCACCCCCAACTCAGGGGCCTATGTGCCTGACACATAGTAGGTGCTTAATACATGCTTGCTGAAGAATGATGGATTGAAGATTTTAAAGCTATGTACAGACATTAGACTTGAGTTTGAATCCTGGCTGTCCTACTTACTACCTGATGTGTGACCTTATGGAAATTATTTCCCACCTCTGGGTCTCAATTACTTCATCTGGAAAATCTCTAAGATTTTCCTTTTTGCTCTAAATCCTATTATCCTTAGAACGCTAATGAGGTAAGGAGTTCCGTTTTCCTCACCACAGAGTAGTTCCCAAAAACAAAATGGGAGTAAGAGGTAGGGGACAATGGTAAAAAGCAGGTCTGACTTAGCAGGACACAACTGATGGTCCTATGACCACCCAGAGTTTATCAATGAAGTGGAGGTGTTTGTACGGCTGTAAAGTAGAGGTGGAACTTACCCCACACATACACCATTAAGGGAATTCCTTCCTCCCACCAAGCCAGTTAAGTCAGGAGAGGGGAACTCCGTTAAGAATGCTTAATTTGCTAACCAGAATTCACCCATCCCCACAAAAATCAGTATTATAAATCTGAAAATATGCATGCAGTGCTGTCCTACTAGATATAGAGAAATCTCAGGTTTCTGTGATAAGCACACATTAGAACCTTAACTGTTGATAATAAAAACAAATTTTCTGCCCATTAGAAGTATGTGAATCGACTCAATTAGTATTTATTAAATGTATAATTTCTGAAAGCAATGTTTAAAAACAATTTTTAAGCATACCCAGCTGTTAGATAGTAAAACATAAAGAACTAGGCTGCCATATTTCATAGGACCTAAAAGCTAATAGTTCTTTAAAAAAAAAAAGTAAATGATGGGATTAGAACTCAGGTCCTTAGACTTCAACAGCCTCTTTCCACTCACTACATTAGACTGCCAAATAAGATGGCTTCCTCAAGAACAACTTTGGAATAAATTCTGAATGAGCAGAGTTAATTAGTTTAGTACACAGAATATAAAGACTATTTCAAGCATGCACAGATGCATAAAATCTGGTTTGTGACAAATGGGAAAGCAGGCTCACACAGGTCTGAGGCACCCCGAGGGGAATGTGAATTTCACTAGATCCTAAATACAAAGACAAACTGCTATGCCAATAGGAACCAAAACTTTTTCCAGACAGGATCCCATGCTATGATTCCGAAGAACATTTAACCACTAGCTTACTTTTGGATCGTTAAGTCGGAAATTTGTTTATACTAAGAAATTTCGATGTACATCTTAGTATACAGAGGGTACGCTTCTAGAGAAGAGGAGAAGTGGTGCCATTCTGGAAATCTTTGGAGGGGGTGAAGACCAGCGTAGAAGCTCAAACTTACAGAATAAAACTGCTTTTCTCTAAAAGTGGCTACTATTTAAAATAGAATGTAATTAATAAAAAATAAGACTTTTTGGATGAAGTTTGCAGTAAGGAACTGAAAGCTTGCATTTTTACTCAAATACTAAAAAAGACAAGGTTTGATACTGCTATGGGCCTTGGGTTTCTGCATGTATAAAATGAGAGGTTTGGACAAAATGGTCCTTCTCAGGGAGCTGTAATAGTGAAATTTTTAAAAAAAATTCCAACGGCAGATTGGATTTTGTCAAGTGACATGGATGGGGCAAACAAAAAGGTCAATGCTCCCTATTATCAAGTAAGGAGGCCACAAAAAAGTCTGTAGTCACTCAAGGCCACACACGGAAGCTACAGCAGCTTGGTTTGGGAATCCCAGACAAACTATTCAGAAATCAAAGGGCAGGGAAAGCAGAGCGCTGAAGCAGGAGGAAGAGTAATGGGGCTCAGCACGAATTCGAGCGCAGCAGAGCGGAGGCGAAGGCAACGCTGGCGAAGGGGTGCAGGGAGCAGGTTCCTGGCGCACCAACTCGTCCCTCCCGGCCCGTGCCCGGAGCCCCGGCAGCACCCGGAGCAGACGCCTACGTGCTGGGCCTGCACCGACTCAGCGGCCTGGACGCCCTTTCTAGGAACCCAGCGAAGCCTGCACGGAGGCCAGGGCGCCCCGAGCGCCGGGCCGGGCCTGGGGAGGAGCTGCACCGGGGGCAGCCGCCCCGCCCCCTCGCCCACAACAAACTTTCAGATCCCAAAGCCCGGAGTCGCCGGAGGCTGGGGGGGGGGAAGAGGGACCCCGGGCAGCGCTCGGGGAGGGGGCGCGGGTTCGAGTGACTGACGGCGTTATTCGTGGGGAGCTGTCGGGGAGCAGCGAATGGGGGCCGAGCCTCCCCGAGCCCTGGGCCGGGCCCAGCCGAGCCCACGCGCCTGCCCCGGCGACCGGACCAGGCCGGTGCCCGGGGGACCGTTAAGCGGTTCGCGCCGCTCCACACCCCACCCCACCCCCGGCCCCAGCCTCCAACGCCCCCCGCGGGGCCTCGAGCCCCCGGCTCCGCCCCGCCCCGCCGGCACCGCCCCTCGCCCGGCCCCAGCCCCGGCCTCGGCCCCTGCCCCGACCCCGACCCCGACCCAAGACTTGCCTTCTTCGGCTCAGGGTTCCCGGCCAGTCTCGACTGCAACCGCTCCACCACTTCCAGGACCGACTCCGCCGCCATGGTGGTCACTGGCACGGCCTCCTCGCCGGGACTGGGCTCGCGGCGCCTCCACGGCCAGGGGAAGGGGGGAGAGGGTGAGGGAGAGGGGAGCGCACCTCCCGCGCCGCCTCCACAGCGCTGGCGGAAGCGGAACTGGCGCTTTCAGGGCCGCGAGGGAAGGGTGAGTGAGCCCTAGGGCTGGCCCCGCCCCCGACGTCTCTGGCCCCGCCCCCGACGGCCGAGAGAGGTGTGAGCTCTCCCGGAGCAGGTGCGCTTCTCCCTGGGCGCGTGCGCGGGCCTGGAGCCGCCTGGCACATGCTGTTCTGCCGCCTGTGCTCGAGGCTTCTCACCGCAGCTCCTCCTTTCAGTAAGGACCAGAGGGTGACCAGGGCCCTCCCGGCTCAGGCCGCGTGGCCTGAGCCAACTCCTCGGCTTGGGCCTTCTCCTCCAGGGGCTGGCCCCGTCACCCCCAGTCTCAGCGGCAGCCCTCCAGCTTCTTCCAGGCATGCGCAGGGCTCTGCCATCCTTACAAAACAGAACAGAAACCCAGCACCCCGGCAGTTGATCCTATTCATGAGATCACAGATTCAGAAAATGAAGGACTCTATCCCATCGATTTAGAGATGAAGAAACTGAAGAGGGTCACCCAGGGAGTTATAGGAAAGGCTGAGAGTCAAACCCAGGTCTTGGGGCCACACTGCTGCTTCCCCCTCCTCCCTTTCACACCCAGAAGTGGGGTGAGGTCATAACAGACGGGACAGCAAAGCAAAAATTGTCAATGCTTGTTACTTCCGTTTCCTCACTTCTTCACTCCTTGAAATCTAGCCTCCAAACCCACCACTGCATTTAACCTAAGGGTGCAAACAGTTCCTTCACTCCTCAGCCTGCTGGTCTTTGCCATCCTCATTCTTCTTGACCTCTCTTGCATAGTGACCCTGATCTCCTGCTCCTTCTCAGTCTGCTTTTCTGGATTATCATCTGTGTCCTTTAGTGTGTCCTCCCAACCCCAAGGCTCTAGCCTAGGCCTTCTCTTCTCTCCCTACAATCTCCCTTGGTGATCACACGAGTTCCCACATGACTTCCAAATGTATATATCCACCCCTCATTTCTCTCCTAGGCTGTGATTTCATACCACTAACTGCCAGCTGAGTTCAAGGGCCACCTCCTGCAGGAGGTCAGTCTTGGGTACTATCCCCCTACTAGTTAGTGTTCTTTTCTCCCCCTACCTCTACCTTTATTTTTTAATTTACTTTCTATTTATTTTGAGTAATGTATTTATCCAAATATGTACTGTCCCCCTCTCCAGGAGAATGTGAGCCCCCTAAAGAGAGTGTTTTTTTTTCTTTGTATTCCCAGTATCTATTACAGTACCTGGCATAAATAGGTATTTAATAAATATTTGTTGAATTGAATGTCATTTGTAATGTGTAAAGTGCATGAGAGAGAGGCCCCACATTTAATCAGCCTTGAATCTCCTTCATTTACTAATGCAGTGCTTTGTACAAAGTTTAACATTTGTTGAAATGAATTGCAGTCTCCTCTTTGAATGGGCCCTTTGGGGGCTGCTGCACAGTGACCACGTAGCAATGGGTTCCACTTGGGAGCTGATTTTTGCTTCTCTAGTTGTCTGGCTTGGGGGAAGTGAGCCATTTTTGCCTCTCCCCTACAGGCACTGCCAATCCAAGAGACAAGGACGTAGAGAACCACTGAGTCCAGGTCTCAAACTCAGCACAGAAATTTCAGGATTCAACAATATGGCAATGAGGGTCTCAGGGCTAATATTAACTGTGATATTTAGTATAATGATAATGCACATTTATATTGTAAACTAAGGTTTACAAAGTACTTTATTCACAAGTAATTTCTGAGGAAGCTACATGTTTCTTCAAGAATTGGTGATTTGACTCACAGAAATCAGAGTTGGAAGGGACCTCAGTTCATACCTGAATGAGATACTGAGGAACTCAGCACCTCAGTAGAGAGCCCGTTTCATTTTTATTTCATTATATTTTATTTTACTATATTCAATATATTATGTTTATTTCATTATATTTAGTATTTGAATATTATATTCTGCATATTTTATAATATTCATTATATTTTATTATATATAAATATTTACTCTAATTGTTATTAGTTCTTCCTTATGGTTTCAGAAAAACCTGGGAAAACTTACATAAATTCATGCAAAGTGAACAGGACCAGGAAAACATTATATACAGTAGCAATAATATTGTAAGGATGATAACTGTAAAAGACTTAACTACTCTGATCAAGACAAGGATCCTGGACAATTTTAAAAGACCCATGATGAAAAATGGTCTCCCCCTCCAGAGAGAGAACTGATGGACTCTAAATGCAGATTGAAGCATACTTTTAACTTTATTTTTATTGTTTTCTTTTGTTTGTGTTTTCTTTTGTAACATGGCTAATATGCAAATGTTTTGCCTGACTTCATGTGTATAACCGGTATTAAATTCTCAAGGAGGGGGGAGAGGTGGGAAGGAGGGAAAGAATTTGGAACTTAAAATTTTTAAAAATGATTGTTAAAAGTTTTTACATGCAACTGGTAAATATTTAATGAAATAAAATAAAAACAATTTTTATAAGAGTTCTTCCTTATACTTAATTGAAATCTTCCTTTTTTCTCCTAGATCTGCCTTAGGAACCAAACTGGACAATGCTAATTCCTCTCCATATAAAGACCCTTCAGATACTTGAAGACAACTGTTATATCAAACAAGCCCTATCTTTTCTTCTGGATGCAATCCCAGATTCTTCAGTTGATCATTTTGTGGTAAAGTCTGAAAATGTCTGTTCAGTAAAATTTACTCACTTTTTGTGAATGCCTTATTTTGTTTTGAAGTCACTTTTTTTTTTAATAGCTGGGGCTATCACTCCAAAGCTGGAATTAGGTGGAGCCAACTCTCTATGGATTATGAGAGCTTCTGGTATGAACCCCTCCTACCTGGTACAGCTGTGACAGAGAAAACCTGGACCATCAGCAACAGAGACAACCTGTTTCAGACTCGTGGTCCCATGGTCATTCCCTGGCACTGCCCAAGAGTTTTGCCCCTCTTAGGCATCTGTGGGGTGGAAATGCTCTAGAATGGTATTCAACAAAATTCAGTTCAGGCTAATAAAGATTTATGAAGTGTTTAACCCTGTGGCAGGTTCTGTGCTAGAGACCACAGAGATAAATTAAGTTATAGCCCCTGCCCCCAAGGAGCTCACAATCTAATACATAAGACAACATATGCACATAATATTTGATTCAATATATACTTTTATTAAGTACCTACCACAAAAAAAGTACAAGATCTATGTTCCATCCAGTACAGGAATCCATTTCACCAGTTAGTGAATAACAGTCAAGATATTTAGATTTTTAAAGTTTAGTTTAATTTTTCCAGATGATGATATGCCCAGTACCTTTCATTAGACTGTTCATTAGAGCATGGTTGTCAATCAATAAGTATTTATTAAGCACCTGCTAGTGCCAGGAACTAACGCTAGGCACTGGGAATACAGTAAAACCTGCGAGAAGTCTTTTCTTTTAGGCAATTGGGGTGAAGTGACTTGCCCAGAGTCACACAGCTAGTGAGTGTCAAGTGTTTAGTCTGACGGCAGATTTGAACCCAGGTTCTCCTGACTTCAAAGCCGGTGCTCTGTCCACTAAGAGATTTTTACTTGTAAGTTTACATCCTTAAGGGTGGAGACAAATACATATGAAAATGTACGTAGTGTCAGTTGAAAGGTAATGCCTATACATCTGTTCATACAGTCACACACACAAAGTGGTGAAAAGCAAGATATTTTGGGAGGGAGGGCATTCCAGACATGGAGGACAGTCAGTGTTAAGGCAGGATGAGGATGAGGAGGGTTGTATGTAAGGTACAATAGATGGGAGGATGGGAGGGGACATGATGGATAGGTTTATGTGTCTTTAAAAGCTAAATGGAGGCCAGGGGTACAGTAGATAGAGAGCTGGGCCTGGAGTCAGGAAAACCTGAGTTCAAATCTAGCCTCCAACACTTATGAGCTGTGTGACCCTGGACAAGTCACTTAACCTGCCTGTCTCCGTTTCCTCAACTGTAAAATGGAGATGAGGGCCTCCCTCCCAGGGCTGTTGTGAAGCTCAAATGAGGTAATATCTGTGAAGCATTTGGCACAATGCTTGGCCCACAGTAAATGATTAACAAATGATTGTTTCCGGCCTTCTCAGAGGCACTAGGAAGCTACTGGAGGTGGCCAGTAGCGAGTCACTGTGGTCAGTTCTAAGCTTAAGGAAAATGACTTTGGCTGCAGTGTTTAGGACAGACTGGAGTGGTGAGAGGCTTGGGGCAGAGATCAATTAGGTCAAAATATGGTGAAGGCCTGAACTAAGGTTGGATGAGAGCAGTATTGTAAAGGTAGAAATGGCAGGATTTGGCAATTGGTGGCAATGTGGGATTATGGAGAGTGAGAAGGCAAACCAGTCATGAGGTCACGCATCCGACCTCTAGGCAGAGAGCACAAACAGGGAAGTTTGGAGGAAGGGAGGGTTTAGAGAGGAAGGGTAAGGAGTTCAGACGTGTTAAGCTTAAGATGTCCTTAGGACAACCGGTTCGAAATGTCCAATAGGCGAATGAGGATATGAGACGGATGCTGGGGGAGAGACTGCAGCTAAATATGCATATCCAGGAATCACCCGCATAGAGATGAGCGTTAAATCCAGGGGAGCTGATGAGATTTGGAAGAGAGGAGAGAGAGGGCCCTGGACAGAACGCTGGGGAATCCCCAAAATTAGTGGGTGTGACATGGATGATGAATCGGCAAGGGAGACTTAGAAGGAATGGTCAGACAGGTGTCAGGAAAACCAGGAGGGAGGGATGTCCCGAAAACTCAGAGAGAAGAGATTACCCAGGAGAAGAGGGGAGTCAGTAGTGTCAAAAGTACGAGGACTAAGAGAAGACCTGGCAATGAAAAGATCATTGGGAATTCTGGAAACAAGGGTAAGATGAGAGGAAGGAGAGAAAGGACATGTAGAAGACTTTTTCAAGGAGTTTGGAAAAGGGAAGAGAAATATAGGATCATGGCTTGAGGGGTTGGTAGGGTCTGGTGAAAGTTTTTTTTAAAGATAAGACAGCACCATGGCTTCCTGGCTTTTCCATGAACAAGATACTTCACATCTTTCTCTGTCACTCTGTCTCTATGTCTGTGTCTGTGTCTCTTCCTCTCTCTCTCTCTCTCTCTCTCTCTCTCTCTCTCTCTCTCTCTCTGTCCCCTCTCACCTCTTTCTCTCCCATCTCTCACCTCTTACCTCTCTCTCTCTCCTCTCACCTCTCTTTCTCTCTCACATTTCTCTCTCTCTCTCTCTCTCTCTCCCTCTCTCTCTCCCTTCCCTCCCCTCCAGGCATTTTCTCTTTCTCCCCCTGTGCCCCCCATGCCTGGAATGCCCTTCTTCTTCTCCTACAGACCTTCTTTAAGTCCCAACTAAAATCCCATCTTTTACAGAAGGCCTTTTCCAACACCTCTTAACACTTTCCCTTGGTTAATTATCTCCTATTTATCCTGCATAAGGTGAGTTTTGTATATATTTGTTTACACATCTCCTCCATTAGACTGTAAACTCCTTGAGGGCAGGGCTTGTCTTTTGTCTCTTTTTTGTATCCCTTCTACTGAGCACAGCTTAAAAGTTTATTGATTAATTGACTAGGCCATGTTTGAAGTCAGCAGGGAAGAAACCAGTTTACAGGAAGAGGCTGGAAAGATTCAGAAGAGAAGCTGGGGGATGGTTAAGGATGCAATCTTTTGGAGAAGACAGGAGGGGATAGAATCAAATGCACTTGTAGAGACGCAGGAGGAGGGCCCCCTTTTTGTCAGAAACTGGGGGGAAGGAGGAGAAATAGGAGATGATGTCGAGGGGTTCTGAGATAAGAGAATGGGAGACGCGGAACCTCATATTGAGTAGCCTCGTTTTTTTTTTTTCAGTCAAGTAGGCGGCAAGGTCTGAAAATGAGAGAGGGCAAACGAGGAGGTCAAAGGGGCTACTGCAGGGAAGAGAAGCTTCTGTGGGGAGTGGTAAAGGGATGATATAGCCCTAAAAGAGAAGAGGCCCCAGAGCAGAGCCCAGTGGGCCTGTGTGGATAAAGAAGAAGCCAATTAGAAAAGAAGGAGCAGTTGCGACTGAACGGAGAGAGAAGAGTGGTACAAAGACCTATGGAGGAAAAGTGGGGATAACAATACTAACACCTGAGGGAGGTTCAAATGGAGAAAACACATGCAAAATCCCAGTACTATGTAAATGTCAGCTATGATTATCGTTAGGAGGAAGCACTGTAGTCTGGGTCTGGTCTGCCAGCACTGATGAAATCGTAGATAATTGCAAGTATTTCAGTGAGTTCCTATTCATGGGGTACAAAGCAGTCCTTTAAGTGGAGACCTACGCTGGACTTTGTGGGTTTGTTGAATGCCTCGGTACCACCTGCATGTCTCTCTGTGTTATTTGGAAATGACTCCCCGCCATTGCTTAAACAGGAAGAACCTTAAGGCCTGCAGGACGCGTTTAACTCTTGAACTGGTCTCCCACCGAGCCTAGTTGTCTTTAACACAGCATGAGCCAAGCCAAGACCCCCTTCACTTGGGCATCTGTGGAAATTCACCAAGTCCTGCGCTATAGGCCTCAGCACTGCAGGGAAGCTCCCTGGGTTTTCCAAGGCTACTACAGAGGAGCACGAGTTTTGGCAGATGACTTCAACTCATTTCCATTCCATTCTCAAATGTTCAGTGTAAGACTACCTGCAAAACGCTGGGTGCTCAACGCTAACAGTTTGTGCCTTTGAGCAGCCTGGAGTGCTCAGCTCCAGGAGGAGGAGGGGTGGGGCACTGCCCGCCTAACAGCTCCAGTGTTTCCCTGGCCCGAGTTGGGGGGGATTGTAAGACCCCTGTGCAAAAAACCCTCCCTCCAGGGTCACGGCGCTGCCCCACTGGGAGCCTCCCGTTCAATTCCCCCTAGAATTTAAACCATGATATGGAAGGCTTGGGGCCCTGGGGGGAAAGTGGGAGCCATCAGAGAAGGAGAAGAGCCTTGCTGATTCTTGGTGGGCTATCGCTGAACCCCAGTGTGCATTCTCTGCATCAGCGTGTGCTGCAGTCAGCCCCGGCTGGCGCTTCGCTCTCTGGGGTGAAATCAAGGCTACCCTAGCTGATAAAATGATTTGTCTTCATGCTGTGCGTGGAGGTTAGGGACCTGGTCACCCACATTTGTGGGCACAGAAATTCCCGAGAGAGTATTCTGTAGGCTCATAATAAGCCAGAGATCGTACGTAGTAATCTTTTGGATCAGGCCCAAGATTGGTCCTGATCTTCCTGAGCCCGCATCTTGAGCATTACAAATATGACCTCTGGGTTCAGGAATGGGTTGCCTCAGGGCAACATAATGTGCTAATCTTGCAGACCACAAAACTGAAGAAGCCTGAACGAGCTGCTCTTTCTGGCAAAATTCGCTCATTATTAATTGTTAATCACAGTAAAAGACTACCACCACTGTCTAGGTAATCATGAGTCAGTCACTTAACCTCAATGGGCCTCAGTTTCCTTATTCGCAAATCCAAGGGGTCAAACTTGATGTCAGTAAGGTCCCTTTTAGGCTCTTTTTGACAATCTTCTGGCCTAAGGTGCCTTCTAGCACAAAATTCTATTCTCAGAGGTTTCTGTCAGGATTCATGGGAAGGGATTTGTGCACTTGGAGTCTGCAGACCTGGAGTCCAGGCCCATCCTGATCGGCTTAGCCTCTCCAAGCTCGTCTTCCTCTTTGGAACAGGAATACTAACATTTGTGGTTCTCCATCACAATTTTGAAGAAAGTGTTCCATAAACTTTAAAGTGCTATAGGAGTCTGAGCTATTATCATAATCAAAGAGGAAACCTTTGGCCTTCCTCCACTGGGATCCTGGTGTTAACAGTTGATCACAAGGTCAGAAATTTAGAACTAGAAGGAACTTTAGAG